TTGCTCATTAATGACAACTGAAATGTCTCAATTTAAGAAACACACTAAAAAGAATGTATCTAGAAAAAGAAAACCTGGGATGGTAAAGGGAAAATCTTGTCAAACAAAAATGGTTAAAGAGCTGACTTCATAGGCTTGACACCTGTCTTTAACTAAAGGGCTATTGTTTAAAGTAAGAAACAGCTTTATCCTGTATTGCTCCTGTGGCCTGAACTAGAACCAATGCAAGTGTCCTCTAGAAAAAAGCAGTTTCAAGATTCAATTTAGGAAAAACTTTCCAATAACTTACATAGTTTTTCCACAGTGGAATGAACAAGTACCCAAAGGAGATCTCATCAGAGATGTTAGAACTTTTTAATTTCGTGATTAGACTGAACCAGTGTTTCCCCAAACTGAACATTTATTAATAAAACCATGAAGCTCTTAAAAATACCAATGTCCACAGTTGCCATCAGAAGCTCAGTGGGTGTGGGTGAGGCCTGGAAGCTCTAAAAAGCTTCCTAAAGATTCAGATTTGCCTAGTGTCCCAGTGGTTAGAGATCCTATATTTGAAAAACCACATATTAGATGGCTTCTTTAGATTTTAAGATTTCTTAAGAGTCAAAATTCTAACAAAAACCACCTTTATATAAACAGCTTAAAGCTGTTTTATCTTTGTATATGAGAAGCACTTTTTAAAAAATAAATTGAGAATATAAAAAATGTCACTTTGACAGGTTCTGGCCAAATGGAGGTGTTAAGTATATAGGTTTTGCCTTCTCACACAACCAGAAAGAAGGATAACCACCAATTTAAAAACAGAAAACAACCAGAATTGCCAGAAAATCTAACTGTATGGAAGTTCGACAACCAAGGAGTTAAACATTCATCTAGACTGATAGGAGGTGCAGAGATGAGAAGCAGGGGAGGCAAGGATGCAGTTGTGGGACAAGGTAGGGGCTCATATACCAAGGCGGATGAGGCAACAGATGGCAGACATGGACATCCCACATTCTCCTGTGGATAATCCAGGAGGAACAACTGGGGAGCCAGACAAATCACCCAACCTAGGCTTCCAACCTAGAGAAATAAAGCCTCAAAACCTCTGGCTGTAAAAACCTGTGGGGGCTGTGGTGGTGGGAGCAACTCCAAGTCTCATAGGAGAGGCCACTGGAGAAGCCCACAGATCCTAGAACATACACAAGGCCACCCACCCAGGAATCAACACCTGAAAGGGCACAATTCCCTTGTGGGAAGCAAGGGAACTGACTAAAAGCTGTGTGAGAGACAAGCAAGCGGTGTTGTACCCTCTGACCCCTCCCCCACAACACAGAGAAGTGGATTGTCCCACCCTGGCAAATACCTAAGGCTCTGCCCCTTACAATATAATAGGTGCACTGAGACGAAGAATATGACCCAAATGAAAGAACAGATCAAAACTCCAGAAGAACTAGTGACGACGAGATAGACAACCTATCAGATGCAGAGTTCAAAACACTAGTAATCAGGATGCTCATAGAAATGATTGAGTATGACGGCAAAATAAAGGAAGAAATGAAAGCTATACAAAGTGAAAGAAAGGAAAATATACAAGGGAACCAACAGAGAAGGGAAGGAACCCAGGACTCAAAACAACAATTTGGAACAAAAGGAAGAAATAAACATTCAACAAGAATAGAATGAAGAAACAAGAATTCAAAAAAAATGAGAGGCTGAGGAACTTCTGGGACAACTTTAAACTTTCCAACATCCAAATCATAGGGGTGCCAGAAGAAGAGGAAGAGCAATAAATTGAAAACTTATTTGGAAAAATAATGAAGGAGAACTTCCCCAATCTGGCAAAGGAAATAGACATGGAAGTCCAGATGCTCAGAGTCCCAAACAACCTGGATCCGAGGAGGAGCACACCAAGACACATCATAATTAAGTTACCCAAGACTGAAGATAAGGAGAGAATCTTAAAAGCAGCAAGAGAAAAGAGGAGTTACCTACAAAGGAGTTCCCATAAGACTATCAGCTGATTTCTCAAAAGAAACCTTGCAAGCAATAAGGGGTTGAAAAGAAGTATTCAAAGTCATGAGAGGCAAGGACTTACATCCAAGATTACTCTATCCAGCAAAGCCATCATTTAGAATGGAAGGACAGATGACGTTCTTCCCTGGTAAGGTAAAGAAGTTATCGCCAAGCTCTTATTATATGAAACGTTAAAGGGACATAACTAAGAAAAAGAAGATCAAAACTATGAACAGTAAAATAACAACAAACTTTTAACTATCAACAACTGAACCTAAACAAAAACAAGAACAAAAACAAACTAAGCAAACAACTACAACAGGAACAGAATCACAGAAATGGAGATCACATGGAGGGTCATCAGCAAGGAGGTGGTGGGGGGAGAATCAGGGAAAAAGGTACAGGGACTAAGAAGCATAATTGGTAGGCACAAAATAGACAGGGGGAGGTTAAGAAGAGTATAGGAAATGGAGAAGCCAAAGAATGTATATATATGACCCATGGACATGAACTCATGGAGGGGGGGAATGCCAGAGGGAGAAGGGTGCAAGGCAGAGGGAGACAAAGGGGAGAAAAATAAATGGGACTACTGTAATAGCATAATCAATAAAATATGCTAAAAAAAAAGTCCTTTTGACAATCTGTAATTTTCCCCCCAAAATTCATGGAACAAAATTATCATAACCTGAAAGCGCTATATATAAAAGAATGTCTCAAACCTTGATGAATTATAAAGAAATTATAATCAATGTTCATTTAATGAATATGTACTGTGAGTCTGTTATATGCCAATAAAGAAAGATGATAAAGCTCAACCCCAAGAGAACTAAGTCAAATCACCAGGGACTATAATACTGTCTCATAAGGACAGTACAGTGCTTTGGGAACATGAAGAAGAGAAAAAATGAGTCTATAATCTTGTATGACCACCCTGTCCTAAACTGGGGATAGGGGAATGTAAATTAAGAGAATTAGGAGAGAAACAAAGTAGAATTTAGGTGGAGGAAGAGTTGGAAAAAGGCACATGTATGGTTTAGAGCAGGGGTTCCTAACCGATGCCAATCAGTGGCCTGTTTAGGAACCCCATAGCACAGCAGGAAGTGAGCAGCTGTTGAAGTTTCATCCCCTGCTCCCCATCACCCTCCACCTCTCAACCCAGCCCCCCTCCATGGAAAAACTGTCTTCCACGAAATTCCATGAAACCAGTCCCTGCTGTCAGAAAGCTTGGGGACTGCTGGTTTAGAGACAAGACTGTGATTTTTTCTTGGAAGGAATCAAGAAAAAGGGAAATAATGCTTAGAAGCAATAGTGTAAAGGGAGGTAGAAAAGCCAGTCCCTGAGAATGGCAGAAGAAAATAAAGGAATTGGAACTAGAGCAGAGAAGTAACCTTGGAGGTTACTCTAGCAAGCAAATGAAACCCCTCTAGCTCTTTACTCCCCTGCCTGTTACTATTATATCTCCTATCCCCACCAGACCAAGCCCACCTGCATTTTACAAGAATTAAGTAAGACTGCCACTTGGCGTTACTAAAGGCAAATCCTTAAGTAGATCCCTCTTGGTCCTGACACTATTGTTTTCTGGTATCACTTCAGTAATATTAGTGAAATTACCAATAGAAGTAGACCAGATTAAATGACAATATAACAGTATACTACAATCTTTGTAGAATATTACTTTCTAAGACCATGTTATAAAAGTACGTCACTGTTGGTTACACACTGACTCAAGGAGATAGCATAAGGAAGAAAGGAATGGTTCTTGAAGGCAGCTGTAATAAAGCTTTGAGGCTTACTAGAATGGGTAGGAATTTCTATTTATCTCACTGTTGTATCCCCAATGCGTAGAATGGTGTTGAGAATGTAGCAGATGTGTGATAAAATGAACCCCAAGGTAAACTAAACCCCAAGCACACAGAAATAAAAAATGAAAATAAAAAAGGTGAGAAAGAAAACTTCCTCTGGTCTAAAGGATAACTCTATTACTTATTCGCTAAAAGTCTTGAACAAATGGGGACTCCTGCTATTTCAAAAGATTAAATGAGCTATTAAATGCAACTGCACATGTAAACACTCCTAGCATAAGAGATGCTGATTCACATTACCTTACTTTCAATTTGCTAAATGCAAAACATATTTCTTCAGTTTGTGGAAAAGAATAATAGAAGTAGGTTGAAATTTTAAAAGCATATAGATTTCAATAGCCTATGAGGAAAAGGTTAACCTAAACCAGCAATTTTCAACAGGTGCGCCACAACAAAATCGCTGACCTAAACCATCGCAGGAAGAAATCAGATATTTGCTATTTATTCATCTACATATATCAAAATACTCTTAGCTACTATTCTTTATACTTAAAAAAAAAGTCCCTTTGACTAATCTGTAATTTTCCCCAGTACTTCTTTATCCCAAGCACAATACTACTTACTAGGGGTTAAAAGATGTGTATGACATTTTATACAGTAAGCTTTTGGAGTGAATAAACTTCAGTTATTCATTAAAAAAAAAAGAAAAAGCAATGTAACTATATGACAGAAGTACAGAATTTTTAAAAATAAAGGGAACATAACCAACTGTAATTGAGAGGTCAGCTGGCTATCTCCCTAGAAGCTTCCAACATTGTATTACCTTAGTAGTTTACTTGAACTCCTTACAAATTGTCACAAAATATCATGCAATTTTTTGTTACCTAAAGACAATGATATATGCTCTGTTTCCATGCCTAACTATAATCTAGAAATAAAGGCAGCTTACTACTGTTAGTATTGACTATGAGGAAAAGAATATAGATATGCCTATCTTCTTAAAGCTGTAATTCAGATAAAAACAAAACAAGCAAGCAAAAATAGTTCATTCTTATTTTGTTTCACAATGAAATGAGATGTTTCTCAAAAAACAGAGCATATCCCTCACTGGTACATATTTCTCCAACTCATGCCAAGATAGTATATAGGGCAGTAGTGCACTTATTTCTAGTAAAATTCATCTAGAGTGAAAAGGAAAATCATTACCTGGTTTGTAGGCATTTTCGGCACATTCACTTTCCACATCTGGGCTTCCCTAGAGATTGCCTTTTCCAAAAGGAAAGACAATCTCTGGTTTTCCAAAGGCCCTGGAAACTTCATGGTATCCTTTGGATCTGCCTGCCTCCCAGCTTGATGTAGCTACCTATAAAATCAAATATAAAACAATGTTCTTTATGTAATTACAGAATGAAGTATAGCAATGTATAAATATGTTGGCTCCGATTAAGCAATTCATGTAACAAAATAAGAATGTTATGAGGCAGTATAAGGCTTTATAGCTCTTGAAAATATCCTGTATTAAAATGTTGCCCTGGCTAGTGTGGCTCAAAGGACTGGGCACCAGCCTGTGAACCAAAGGACCTCCGTTCGATTTCCAGCCTAGGGCACATGCCGGGCTTGCGGCTGGGTCCCCAGTGGGGGGCATGCGAAAGGCAGCCAGTCTATGTTTCTCTCACACATCAGTGTTTCTCTCCTCCTCTTTCTTCCTTCCTTCCCCCTCTCTAAAAATAAATAAATGAATTTAAAAAACTTTAAAATGTTACAATGACAGTTGTCAAAAGCATTCTCTCTTTAAATGAGAAACCCAATTAAAAAGAGAATAAAAACATGGCCTTGTAACTGACAAAAACCACTGGACTCTAGTCAAAATATATTATTATTGGGTCAAACTATGTCAAAATATTTTAAGTCACGGGCTTTTCATACTAGGAATTCTTAATAGTTGTCCCAAATATTCATCTTAAAAATCTAATCAGAGAAGAACTGCTAATCTTTTTCATTAAAAAAGTTACAATTATGTTAAATTCCACCTATTTCCACTTAATCAGTATGAAACCATCACCTTAAGTATGAAACCATCTTTTTTCATTTTAAAACAATTAGTTTTATTTGATTTTTTAATGGTTCAAAAAGTACATATAGTGTAAAAAGGCAGTATGAAACCATGTTGAATTGAGCTTCAAATACAGTGCCTACTAGACTCACATGTGGATGTTTAAATTAAATATAACTCCTCAGTCTAACCCCATTTCAAGTGCTCAGTAACTACAAGTGACTAATAAATACTGCACTGGACAATGCAGAAAGGGGACATTTGTATCAATGCAGTTAAAGTTCTACTGGACAGTGTTGATTAGAAAACTCAAAAGTAAACGGCACTGCAAACGAACAAGTCTAGATCAGTGCAGGGCAACTCAAAGTCTAAGAGAGATGCCTAAAAAAAAGTTTTAATGACAGGGAAACTATAGATTTGTGAGGTGTGACTATGTGTAGAAAATGTAATTGAGAACTGCTGGAGCCTTGGCTGGTGCAGCTCAGTGGACTGAATGCCAACCTGTGAACCAAAAGGTTATCGGATGGATTGCCAGTCAGGGCATATGCCTAGGTTGTCGGGCCAAGTCCCCAGTTGGGAACATGCAAGAGGCAACAGACTGATCTATCTCTTGCACATTGATGTTTCCCTCTCTTCCTCTCTCTCTAAAAATAAATAAAATATTTTAAAAAGAGAGAGAGAATTGCTGGAGAATGTGAAAAGACAGATGAAAGTTAACCAACTGAGAAAGTAACTTCAGGAAAAAAAAAGTTATGTAAGAAGATAAATGTAATAGTATACCACTGTATTTACACAGCAGTAAGATCGGGTTCAAGGTATCTGTTCTCCAATCTCCTACAATTAAGGTCCTCAGTAAGACTTTCATATGTTTAGATGCTTTTAACAACTTTTTAAAAAGACATCACAAGTAAAGTTAGGAAATACTTTCAGATGAATGAAAGAGACTGCCTAACATAACAAAACTTATGGGATGCAATGAAAGTAGTGCTTAGAGAGAAAATAATTCTTGTAAATGCCTATATTTTTTAAAAAAACCAAAAAACTCAAGTCAGTACCATAACCTTCTACCTTAAGACACTAGAAAAAATACAGTAAACTGTAACTAAAGAAAGCCAGAAGGAAAAATTGTGTGGCAATTAATAAAGTAGAGAACAGAAAAATAAAACAAAATCAATGAAAAAAAAGGTAGTTCTTTAAGAAGAGCACCAAAATTAACAAACCTTTAGCTACACTGACCAAGGGGGGGAAAAAGTATGAAATACTATAATCAGGAATAAAGCAAGGACATTACTACCTATATTACGGAAATTTTTTAAAAATACAAAGGAATTGTATAAACTGTATACAAATAACTTGAACAATTTAGATGAAACAAGTACCTAGAATCACAAACTATCAAAACTGACTTAAGAAGAAACAGAAAAGCTGAAGAGCCATATAACAAGAAACCAAATGAGTAAACAAATAAATTATTGCCAAAGCAAAGCCTATGCAAAAAACGGCTTCACTGGTAAATTCTATCCAACATTGACAGAAAAATTAATACAAATTCTTCACCTACTCTTCCAAAAAGTAAAGAGGAGTACTTCTCAACTCATTTTATGAGGCCAGTTATTAACTTGCTACCAAAACTAAAGACAATATATAGCACTAGAAAACTACAGATCAAGCTCTTCTAAATATACATACAGAACTCAACAAAATACTAGCAAACTGAACCTCCCAACGTAAAAGAATATTATATACCATAACCAAATGTGATTTAGCCCAGGAATGCAAAGTTGGTTTAATGTTTAAAAATCAATTAATGTAATACACTGTATCAAGAGAAGAAAAAGAAATCATTCTTTGCTCACACTAAAATGTCAACAAAGGAAAAAGTTCAAATTCTCTCAAACTTCAAAGAAAATGGGATATAAATAATACAAGTGAAAAAGGATGGAGGAAACCTGTGGGGATTTTCCAGATTAAATGAGGGTAGAGAAAAATCAGATTGCAGTATCTGATCTTAGACTGGATCTTGTGCTGAAAGAGAAATAAATGCTAAAAATGTTATTATTGGGTCAACTGATGTAATGGGAACATGGACAGTAGGTTAAATGTTACAATATTAAATTTGTTAAAGTTGATAGCTTTATGGTGATTCCCTAAGAGAATATCCCTAGACTTAGGAAATACACACTAAAAAATTTAGGAGTAAGGGGCCATCATGCAATTTATATATACGGCAGGGGGTGAGGGAGGGGATGATAAATAATAAAAACAAGGTAAAATGTTAATAGGTGAATCCTGGTAAAGGGTTTCTTTCTGAAATTACAAGAATGTAAAAAGCAGCCCTGGCTGGCGAGTCTGAGTGGACTGCTCGCTGGCCTGAGAACAAAAGGGTTGCCAGTTCAATTCCTAGACAGGGCACATGCCTGCGTTGCAGGCCAGGTCCCCGATAGAGGGAGTATGAGAAGTAACCATAGACTGATGTTTCTCTCCCTTCCCCTCTCTATAAAAATATTAAAATCTTAAAAAAACATGTACAGAGCAAAAAAAGAAATTTAAAAAAGACAATTTATAGAGGGCTTATATTATCAGGCTATTATTTATATTCCACTTTTAAGTCTCTAGTAAGACATAATACGATACACTGGAGAAAATATTGGCTTGAGTTTTACTTTTTACTGGTAGAACACAACCTATCTTCTTTTCTAAATTTTATTCATTTTTGAAGAGAGGTGAAGTGAGGGAGAGAAACATCAGTATGAGAGAGAAACATCCACTGTTTGCCTCCCACATGGGCCCAGGCCGCCAACCCCGGCGTGTGCCCTGATCAGGAATGTCAGGGATCAAACTGGCACTGGTGACCCTTCACTTTGCTGGACAATGCTCAATCAACTGAGCCAATCAGGGCCTATTTTCTAATATGTAAAACAGGTTATTTGAGTCAGATTAGTAAGTCCTACTAAGAAATAAAATACACTTAAAATATAATTTTACTATTTTAAATAATATAGTATTATAGTTGTATCTTATTTTATGTCCACTTTTGGATACAGCCAGAATTTTGAATGCTCAGAAGTTTCTAGGAACTGTAAAACAAAAAGACAGTATTTTGGTTGGCATACTCCACATACTTCTAACTGTGAAGTTTCTTTTGCATTCCTCCTCCCATTCTTTAAATTGCTACTTCTACGCCTTTCTCCTCGTTTATCAAATAGCTTAATGTCTGCGTGGTTTATAAAACCCTTATTGCACACCATAAACTGTATCACAAATCTATATAAAGGGCCTCCTGCTTATCTGAGGGAACTACTGCAGTGATGGCTAAACAGAAATAAGTTCATCGATATGGAATTATTCTATTTATTATCATTGTAACACCAACCCTATTAATAATTCTGTACTGGTGCTGACTTCTGGATCTAAAGTTCCTCTTCTAAATACAATGAATTTATTAATGTGACCATACAAGAACCTCATGTTCTAATATTACTTCCTTGACTTTATGCCTCTCACTTAATGAACTACAGGCAGTCCCTGTAACTCCAAAACAGGATGCTCTTTTCCAATCGCCATGTCTCTCCATACTGTTCTTTTCTTGAAATATCCTTCTGTAGCTCACACTCCCCTTCCCACAGAGTTTACATTTGCATCAGTCCGTCACTGGAACACTGCCTTCCTACATCTCTACTTGGACATAACTCTAGTTTTGCATTTAATTGCTCTGTGATAATTATTTGCAGACTTGTCTCTCCTATTAACTTGTGAGTTCCTCGATGGCACTCTCCAGAGTTGAGCACTATACAATAAACAATAAGAGCTTACCTTGCTAAGTGATTAACACGTAAAAGCAGTGAATGCTACTTGGCCAGATATTCTTCAAAGTATTATGTCATATTAACTGATTTAATACTCACACAATCTCATGAAGCATGTATTATTAAGCCCACTTTACAGATAAATATGCAAAGAATGAATGCTTTTCATTTTTAAAGTATTACACAATAAGATTAAAACATGTATACACAACTCTCAGCTTCCAATCTTGACCATTAAATGTTTTAGAGTTCCATTCTAACCTACTCAGATGCCACACTGCCACATAAACTCAATTATCTGCAGCTGTATATCATCTCAACTATAACTCCCAAAACACATTAATTCTACTGGTCTGCTCTTCATTAGTATTAAGATTTTTATGGTGCAGAAACTCATTCTCTCTGGTCTTTGCTGGTCCGAGATTAGTTAATCAAAATCCTGTCCACTCTCTCTTAATTTCTTGATATTTATCCATTCCCTTTGTCTGCCACAAATAACCTGAAAAGCCAGAAGCAGATAACATTACTGTTAACCTTTTCAACAGAAGCAGGAACTATGTAGCATATTCAGAGTGTCTGGGTTTGAACTCTGGCCACCGGGTCCAGCTGTGTCATCTAAGCACAAAATTACTTCATTTTGTGAAGCCTCAGTTTTCCTCATCTGTGAAATAAGACTCCTCAATGAAACCTGCCTCAATGAGTACTTGAAGATTCAATGAGTAATAAACCTCTTCGAGTAACTGATGTCTCCACAAGTGTTAATGTCACTAACAGCCTAAAGTCACACTGCTGCTCAAATGATGAGTGACCCCCCCCCCCAATAACAGAACAAAGGCTAAATATATACTTGAGCTTGTCATTCAGAGATTTTCTGTCGGATTCCATCCTGCCCCCGGAGAGATACTTTCCACTATTTCGCTACCCAATTCTCAACTCCTGCCAGTAAGATCTGCAATGGAACCTAGAGCTCAGCAGTAGCCCTTCTTTCCTTTTTTCAAAACTTGGCTCCTGTTACCTGCCCTTTAGGGTGCAACTCAAATGTTACCACCTCTTCAATTTCCCCCACCCACACCATGGGCGACGTTCCCCTCCCCCGAGTTTCTCGCAGGCAGCACCGGTGGTTCACCCCGTTCATTTGGCATGCACACCGCTCGCTGGGCCATGTAAATCATCTTCCTTTGGCTCCCGCAGCAGTGTCGAAGTATAACGGTGGGAGTGTGTCCCCGTCTTTGTGTATTACATAGGCTCGTGCGGAGCCTAGAAAATGCACTACGGAGTAGACAATTTGCAGTTCCTACAAAAAAGTTACTCGGTGACAAAAATGGCCCAAAAGGGAACAGAGCAGAGCTGTTGGCAAAAAGGGCAGGTGTCGAGTTGTTCTTGCGTGGAGAGGGCGAAGTAACATCCGGAAAGCCCCCGTGGAGGCGGAGGCGAAAGGGGAGGGGAAGTTTTGGGGGAAATGTGGTGGGGGTATGTAGTAGGGGTGGGGAGATGTGGCTGGAGGAGGACTGGCGAAGGCAGAGGGGGGGACAAGGGGAGGTAGCCTGGGGGGAGGGGAAAGGCCCCTCGGAGCCACGCGCTCCGAGTGCTTCCCTGCGGGATGCGCGCGAGCTCGGGTTGCGGGGCTGAGCCCCCCACCCCCGCCCGCTCACCTTCTCCTCCTCTTCCTCCTCCCTGGCAGAGCTGTAGGCCTCACAGTGGTGACGCGGGGTCATCCAGGGGCCCGCTACCACCTCATTTTCAACAGCGCGCAGCGACGAGGCGCGCGGGACGAGGACCAGGCCGACTGAGGAGGGTGAAGAGGGGGAACGGTGCTGGGGGGCGCGGGCACTTGCACTCGAGCAGGACACACGGCTCCGGCCGTGAGTCGGTCAGCGAATTAGTTCCATGACGATCCTGGACCTGAGGCCGCCACCGGTCTCGCTCCTCCAACCGCCGCCGCTTGTGCCTGGGTGGGGAGGGGGCTCCCTCTCTCCATAGGGCGGCGGGGGCCGGGGAGAGGCGGGGGGTGAGACCGGCTCTGCCCCTGCCCGGGGGAAGCGCCTCCAAGGGGAAATGGTGAAAGGGAGGAAGGGGGAAAAAGAAAAAGAAAAAAAGGAAGGGGAAGGGGGGAAAATAAGAAAAAGCGAGACAGAGGCGCTGGCGCGTCCGCTCGCGGGGAAGGCAAGGGAGGGAGGGGATGGAAAGAAGTGCCGGCTTCCTCGGCTCCGCCCTCGCGGACCAATTCCTAAACTAGCTCACTCCGTGTAAACAACACTGGAAGGCTCTCTCACGGTAACTCCCTTTTTCCTTCCTGCCGACTTCACGGTCCAACAAACCTACAGAGAAATCCAGGGAAAATTGTACCATTGGAAAGGAGCCTGGGGAAAACCTTGGCACTGGGGTAAAAAGAGAAAGATTTTTTTTGTGGGCTAAGAAAAACCAAGGTGCGTGGACTCCTTTTCCTTGGCAGAGCGGAAGGGTCCCTTATCGTCCGCGGTGACGTAAGAGTCCCCTTTCAGCTCGCCTAGAGGAGGTGTGTGGTGGCCGGAGTGTGCGCTGCGCATGCGTCTCAAGGAAGAAAGAAGCCGCTGAGCGCTTAGCTTGGGGGTGGGGCTCTGTGGGGATGCTACTCTGGCCTAACCTAGAGCTGCCTGGATTTATCCAAGATAGCTTGTCTGTGGTGCTGGCAGGAGAATGTATATTAGGAGGGGGCCGGTGATCTGTTGTGTAAAGGTATTGAATTTTTTGTTGACCTCGCCAAAAATTATGTGTTCTTTTACCATTGACATGTAAATAGAATTGCAGTGTTTTCACCGCCACATTCTGGGTGGTGGGAGATTCTAAAGCACTTTAGAAATAAAATTTGAGGGATCATGTCCTTAAGCACCTTTTTGCTCAGGCCTCTTTTAAAACAGTGAATTATAATGCTGAAGGCTGGGAACCTGCTTGGTAATGCGCCAAGGAAATTATATCCACTTAACCGACACGTATGAGTATTTCAGACTGTATTTTATTGCCAGATGTTTAATGAGTGTGTGGTGACATAAGTATGTTTTATTTGGGTTTCTTTTATTCACCTTTAGTAATTTTTGCTCATCTTTTGAGCGTTTTAATTATAAAAATATGTAGAATTACAGAAAGTTTTGACAAAAGGGGAAAAAACTCAATCTCAATTATTTATAGAAGTAGCTCCTTGTGTTTCTCATGTCTTTTATATGTCTAGTTTAAGTCATGGGGAAAAAATTGTGTTGAGCATATTCAGCGGGCCAGTCTCAGTGCTAAGCTCTACCAAACTGGAAGTAACCAAGACAGAAATAGCTCCTGCCTTCATGATGTTTACAATCCAGAGGATAAACACTGAGCTGATTATCATTATCTGAAATTACCAAATATATTGATTGGTTTACTTGCACGTTGTAGTCCCTGTCTAGAATATAAGATCTTGGATGGCAAGGATCCTTGATGTTTTTGTTTCCCTGCATATAAAAGGCTCTCAGTATTTGATTACTGACTGAATAAATGATTGCAAATATTAAAAGTATTAAGATGTAAAATTGCAAGCTTTTATGGAAACACTTAACCCTACCCTACTTAAGGATATTAGAGAGGGTTTCTTTGAGGAAGTGACATTTAAGACGAGATGTACAACCACTGGGCAAAGAAACAGGGAAAGAGTGATAGAGCAAAGGAAACGTGCAAAGGCTCTGAAGCTCAGACCGTCTAAAAATCTCTGAACGGTAATACAGAGCTGGCCCTCAGAGAACTGGGGAGAGAGCAGAGGCGCATAGGGCCATAGGACAGAGCAGGGAATGGGAAACTCAGGAAGGATTTTAAATGGGTCCTGTCCTGCTTTTTTCACTTTGTGTAGCCTTTTTCTGTATCAATGTGGATTTCTTTCTACAGAGCCAAGCTTTTTCTGCATAATTCTCTTGGGAATGTAGCATTTGTGCCTAATACCTCTGAGAGTGTAACATAATTACGTTGTTGGACCATGATTTAACTGTGATAGGAATAATATAAATTACGCTCTTAGATATGTAGCCAAGAGAAATGAAAACATGTCCACATAAAAACGTGGGCGAATGTTCACAACGGCATTATTCATAATGGTCAAAAGGTAAAACAATACAAATGTTCATCAGGTGATGAATTTATAAGTTAAATGTGGTTATCTATACAATGGAATATTGTTTGACCATAAAAAGGAGGTACAGATATATGGTGTAATGTGGATGACCCTTGAAAACATATAATATGCATTCTTTTGTGATTGGCCTTTTTTACTTAGCATAATGATTCCATTTCTACGAAATGTTCAGAATAGGCAAATCTGTAGTGACAGAAAGTAGGTAAGTACTTAGGACTGGGGACAGAAATGGGGTAGGGCATGATGTCTAAAGGGTGATGTATTTCTTTTTGAGGAAAATGTTCTCAAATCGATGGTGGTGATGGTTGCATGATTCTGAATGTACTATACCATTTAGTTGTACACTTTAAATGAGTGAATTGTATGGGATGTCAATTATGTATCAATAATGCTTTTATCCACAAAATGAAGGAAAAAAATACAATTTATATCTTCACATATAACTTTTTTGGATTATTCCTGTGCCCAATAGTATTTACAGTTTTAAGGCATTTGATGACTACCAGTTTGCCAAATTGCCTGGCAGAGGGGTTGAACCAATTAAAATGTATCTGGGAACATTTAAGAGCTCCCACTTCATTATATACTTATCCTTTTTGAAGTTTAGGTTTATTAAAACTATCTTACTGTCTGAGATTGCCAGTGACAATATAATCTACAGTACTGTAAGTATAATGACAAGTAATTAAAAGGAACAAGTTCCAGTTGTCCTAATGAAAAATATGGACACTCTTTTACTTCACTATTCACTACTTTTAATCAACATCTTTTTTCTTAATAACTGAAATAGTGCTTTTACAGTTGAATTGTAAAAAAATGGAAAATCTTTGAAATTTTTACCTGAGAAAATAAATGAGGTATATAAAGAAAATGTTAATATTCTATATTGGTAAGGAATTTATATTTTTTCATTTAAAAGTATCTTTAGGAATGTTTCCCTTAAGTTCTACATAGTAAAAATAGACTACATTTTTACTTAGCATTTGAGAAGAATAATAACTAAAATACACTGATAACTCCCTATGTACCAGGCATTGCACTATGCACTTTTATTGCATTATCTCATTTGTATCCCCACAGCACTCCTCTATAGGAGGTATTTTTGTTGTCCCCAATTTACAGGCGATAAAGAGGTCAAGTAAATCCACACAATTGGTCACATGGCTTGGAGAAGCACAGCCAGGATTCAAACCCAGCTTGTCTGGCTCCAGAGTCTAGTGTACTTTCAACTACTGCCCTTTACTGCCTCACACTGTGATTATTTCTCGCTTGCTTTAAATCTTGAGCAGGCCCTGGCTGGTATGACTCAGTGGATTGAGTGCTGGCCTACAAACCAAAAAGTCAGTTCAATTTCCATTTGGGGCATATGCTTGGATTACAGGCCAAGTTCCTGGTTTGGGGGCATGCAAAAGGCAATGGACCCGTGCAAGGGGCAACAGATTGGTGTACCTCTGGCACATTGCTGTTTTTCTCCCTCCCTTCCTCTCTCTAAAAATACATGAAATATTTTTTTAAAAAATCTTTGATCAGAAATACCCTATGGTTATTTAATGTTAGAACAAATATTCCAAAGAAACACACATTTTTATCAAGCAGCTTATATTTGTGTTGCTAGAGAGTTGATTTTTGCTTGAAAAGGAGTTATTAAAGTTTTCTTAGATGTGTTTTACTTCATGAATGAAATATTGAACCTTGAAGTATAAACATGCTTTGCTTCAACTGCAGAGTGGTAGAGTAAGTAAGCATCTGAGAAACAGTGTGCTGTCATAATAAAGGCTCTGTTCTGAAATGCAAAACAGTGTAAAGTGAGATGCCTTCAGAATGCTAGGACAACTGTAGGGAATCAAGTTGATGAGCACAAAGTATTTGGCTAGCCTTAATCTTTCAAGAAAAAATATTAGAAATGTACTGCTTACATTTTTGTGACTGTAGAAGACCAGACTATTTAATCTTTAATAACAGAAATTTCTGGTCTCATTGATCTTAAATGAAATTTTTAGGGTAATGTTTCCAGCAGACAATTTATGAAGGTACTGTCTTGTAGGATAAATATTAAGGCCTACGGGAACATCAGAAGTGATTTATTATCTTTGTAATCACTTATCTTTAGCATCTGCCAACACTTAAGGATCTTACAGCTTTCAAAATATTTGTTTTCGTTAATCTCTATATAGACAGAATGTAAGAGGAATAGATCTCGCAAATAGATATCAAGAGAAAAGGAGTCCCCATTCACCAAATAATATAAAGACCTTCTACTTCTACTTCTGTTAAGTAGGGAGGAAGTTGTCAGAGAAAACAAGTCAAAAATTATAAAATAGGAAGTCTCAAAGTACTTCCCAGACTCTGACCAACTCCAAATGTAGTCTGGCTTTAGGCTTCTCATATTTAGGTAGTTATTTAGAAAGGCCTCACCAGGAGGGATCATTGGTCACATGTGTTATTAAGAGGAGGCCCAAAGTCAAATAGCAGCCACCTATTTGAAATTTGTAAATCTAAAGGCTTCAGTAGAAATATGTCTCTTTTTTTTGGTGCTGTTGGAAGAAAAATATACCATTAAAAGAACACCATTTACTCTTTCACAAACTGTTTTGCATCTTCAAACCACCAGTTTTAGTAAGTTCAGAACAAAAAAAAAAAAAATCTTTTTTTATCATCTTATGTAATCAAACTACCAACACTATTTCTCATAAAGCATTTATGGAGAACGTGTGGAGAGAAAGGTAAATATTTTCCAAAGTCTATTTTTAGTCACTTCACAACATATGTTTACTGTAACTGTTTTTTTTCTTAGTAAAGGAAAAGAATTATGTTTTGGGAATCAATTTATATTATCTATAATCAAGGTTTCCAAGATTTCTTTCTCACATAACTGAGCTGCTTTTATCACCAGTCGCTTATTTAGTGAATATTTGAGTCCCAATTGAATACTGGGCTAGGCAGAGCAAGAGAGTCTAAGTTGAGTCATATATTATCCTGTTTATAGGAAATTTATTCATTAATTATTTCTTTAATTCAGCAACATTTACTAGTTGTGAGACAAT